AATAACTGTAGATGCTGTTAAAGAAGGGAACAATTGTGGTAGTATTTTTTTTCGTTTCATCGGGTTTTGAATTACAACGATTTTAAAATCTAATGAAGTGAAAAGTTCTTTAGAATGGGAGTGATCTGAAAAGTAAATAAACGCGGTCGGTAGGAAACGGAGCTATCTAACGAAGCTATGAAACGGCTGCTATACTAAATAATAAGAGAAGAAAAGACAAACATATAGGATTTAGCCTGCGAGAGAGTGAGACGGAATATAGCTATACAGTTTTCCTATTCTCGGTCTCCTCTTTATGGTAGTAGCCCCATTGTGAAGACCAAAATTTTAATGCTTTTTCATGAATTTTTTTGAATAGGAAAACAAAATGCGATCGTTTTGAAATTTTAATATTTTTCTATCAGTATCTTAAACTATACAAAAAAAWTTTTTTTAAACTAATTTGGACAATATTTGTCCCTTTTTTTTATCGTCAAATTAGAGTCCCCAAATTCAATTTGCGGAAGCACAGAGCCTTTGTAGACGTCTGAAACAAGAAAACTAAAAAGACTTATTATTCTTTAGGCTTAATTAGAGACATGATACCAACAATATGAATATTTKTTTTAAATAAAAACAAAATGACGGACGTGTGAAAMAAAATTTTTAAAATCGGTGCTGTTTCTTACCTTTAATTGTTTAAAAATATATATTTATTATTAAAAAGTTAAAGATTTTTGAGGTTCCAGTCATCAGAATATGTGTAAAGAATAACTTGTAAAAATTTTAGCCTAATCGGTTCTATAATTTTTAGTGAGTGCTTCCGCAAAATTTCAAAAACGTAGTTTCGAGAAAAACGCGTTTAAAGTTTTGAGAACAGATTTTTTATAAAATAATTATAATAACATTATTCTGCTATGCCTGGTGCATACACTAGTCATTCAGCTTCCTCACTTCTAACACGTGTGATTTGAGCTCATGATTATTTGTCTTGTATTGTTCATACATTTATATATGTAGGGGAGTTTTAAGTGTCGAGGAGTAAACATAGATAAGTTGGTTGGCGTCGAAGGACTAAAGGGAAAAGGACCCGATGGTCAAAATATAGAAAGACGAGCGTGGTCTATTCTTTGTAAGTTCAGTAAGTTGTGTGTGTAAGTCTTTGTTAGTCTAGAAGTTTCTCGGGCGATATCAGTGCCTTGTTTATTAGACCGTGCCAGATGTTAGGAAAATTCAAGAACGATCCAGAAGATGGTCTATCCCTCAGGGATGCAGGGTGAGGGAGAAAGTTATAAGCAGAAGGTAGTCACGCTTGTGCTAACATGAAGGAGCGTTGTGAGAACCAAACGACGAGTGCGAGTGACAAAAGCGATACGATATGAGCGATTAGATAGTGATTAGCCAGTGAATAGCGAATGAGTAGTGAGTTGTGATAAGATTGCTGATATTCGCGGGTTTCGTGCGTTTTATGAGGTCAGAGTGAGTGTGTGAGATTGTAAATTGTTAGTGTATACTGATTATACTTGTCGAAATAAAGATTATCTTCTATATCTTAAATGGTACGTTAAATGGTACGGCAATACGTGAAGATTATATATCCCTAGCCGAATACACAGAACAATTCATTTTTCTACATATATTTATTAAAAATTAAGTTGTTTATTAAAAAAAAACATTTGTTTTTAAAAATTTTTCAAAACGTAACCTCTCTTTTTGCATTGGCTCTGGGCTTCAAACAATACGGTTTAAAATAACACGGCATTTTCTAGGAACCTATCTACCGTGTTGTTGGAGGGTCACCTGTTTGTATATATACTACAGTATATCCATCCTTTATATTGACATGAACTAGTGGAAGGATTGTCCCTCGCAAGACACGTACGGAAACAATAAATTGACCTTCGGACATTATCTCTTAAACACCATATGGACCTCATAATTTATCTTGCCTTTCGGTATAAGAATCGGGAGGATAAAAGAACACAGGAAATAAGAAATAAGTTCATAAACTTAAAACTTTCAATAGCGCACCAACGTTCTCCTATTCTCTCACGTAGGAGCCATGGCAACCCTAATGAACTTTACAAAGCATAGGCTTAGGAACACATCTAACTAAAATAAAATCCTTATTAAAGATTCTCATCATTCACGTAACAATGGGAACCTCCGCCGATGCTTAGCCATATGGAACTTAGAGATAAGATAGAAATCATACTACAAGGAACAGTATTCTTTCAAAAATCTCAGAGAATAACCCTACTGACGAGCAACTGAATAAATAAAATAAATTATAAACAATAGGTCCCGGACAACCTACTTCGTTCCTAACCCTTGCAACCAAATGCCTGACAAAGTCACGTAGGACTAGCGGAAATCTACTCCTAAAATATTCTAGAACAGAGATGCATAGGAAGCTTAAGCTAGCAAGCTAAAATTAAAGTGTAGGGGTACAAAAGTTACCCCTTTCCACGAAGGACCTTTTGGGGCTATATAACCCAGATGACATTGCCCCCGCGGCACTTACTATCTTGTCACAGTTACTTACGACCTATTAATGCTWTACTTATTATTTACTTATTATAGTTCTATTCAGTGTTAATTGTTCTACGATYACTTGTTCATTACCAGTGTTCTTTCTCTACTACTGCCTAAGTATTAACTTACTCATTTTCCATTCGAGTCAACTCAATTCTGAATCTAATTAATTCATTAACTGGTTTATACTTGTAATTGTCTTGTCGAATCATTGTGTTGTTCAACCTTCGACTAGAATTAAGCAGTCCAAGCCTCCTAGGCATCTTGAGACCAAGGCACCATTGTACGACAAGTTGTAATGGTTGTAAGTCACAACCATTTATTTTCATTAAATAACATTGTTAATCAGAGCTACAGCTATCAATAACTCTCCTTCAAACCGAACATTCTTCAATTAACCTCTTTAACGTACCTACTCTGTTGTCTTTTATCACTATTTAAATTGGGAAAACGATCAAGCCTGGTCCCGGTTAAACTCGATGAAAACAGAGTGACCATAAACAGGCGCTACTTAAACAAACTTGTCCTCTAGGAGGTAACAGTACTATTAGTTATGTCGTATATAAATATGAAAAAACGTGTGTTCCGAAAAAAATGAAATAATTGAATTGTAATACAGTGTAATCTATTGAATATTTACAGAACATGGAGATTTAGATATCCTCTAAATAATAAATTCACAAATTAGTAATAAAAAATATTTTAAAAATAGCGATAAAAACTATACTATATTTTAAGGTGGAAAAAATCATAAGAAATGAAAAAATTTCAGTAAAATCGGTTGAGTAGTTTTGGAGTTCATCGTAAACATACAATGTGACACTAAATTTTTGTATGTACTGATGAGAGAAATTTAATCGTTACCCGAGAATGAAAGTTTTTACATTCTTTTACATTTTCAATAGAGWTCGAAACGGTTAGTTTGTTAAGATCGTTTTTTAGCATTACATAAAGGAAAAATACTTTTATGACCTCTTCTACTATCTATAAAAAAACGTTTTAATACTAAATATTATTGACGGGATAAACGTGTTTCACCATCTAATAGAAAAAGTATGCGGAATCTTTTTACTCTCTTTTACGTAGTAGCCGCAATACATTTCTATTATATATAAGCATTGCTACCAATTGTTCGGTGTAGATACAAAAAGATTTTATTTTTTCTCCCCTGCATGTGAGGCTCTAAATTTTTCATTGATCTATATAAAGGACTTTTGCTAAAAGCAAAATGGTATTATATTCTTATTTTGAAACATTAATTTTTTTATGTTTATGTTATATAAATATGTAAATTAATTGTAAATTTAAAAATAATAATTGTATCTTTTTTATAAGTATGAAAGTGGAATAAAATCTGTTGACGAAGAGACCATTATGTCTTATTAACTGATTATAACTCTCATTATTGTTTTGTGTAAATCCACCAACACACCTTTTCAATAATTTTACGTTGCCAAGGTCTTCATAAATTGGATATATAGCTTTAGCAACATCAGCTGGTAAAGTTGGATAATCATAGGTGTAAGAAGATAATGTGTCCGTTGCTAGCGCTTGCTGCCAACTACACCATTAACATGATTTTCACACTTATCACACACTGCACGATTGCAAAACCAAGTCCACTGGGAGAATCATTTTCCAATTTTATTTTTCCGTCACAAGAGTTACATTTCACATAATTACTTATCGCAACAAATACTTAATATTTAGGAAAATAATATCTTATCTCTGCTGCCTATCGTATTTCATGATATTTTATTTCATAGGTTTATAGCAGGATCAGTTTCACAGAAATTAAATATTATAAAAAATAACAAATATTAGGTTTATTATCTACAAGATTTGGTACTGGAAATTTGGTACCACGAAAAATTTGGTACTGAACGCACGACTTTACACTCTGACGTGGCCTTACAAATTCGGCTATATCCCTGAAAATATTTATCGGATTAGCTTCAAATTTTTAGAGAATGTACATAAATATATGTACATTCTGAAAATGCAAAAAAAAAAATCGATTTTTTGAAAATTCTAAACTCTTATAATCCCTTAAAACAGCAACGATTTGGAAAGTTAATGTTGATTTTGTCAAATAATACTTTTATTAAATCAAATGTATTTTTCAATATGTTTTCAAACAGATATCAATAGTTGTCTACGACTAAATTTTCTATTAAATATATAAACATATTATCGATGCAGCATTCGTAATTACATATTATTCGCATTATTTTAATTTTTTAAGCACTGCTGAATTTTGCGCGAAGCTGTTTTTTTGTACGGAAGGGTTCAACAGACAATTCCGTTCTCTACGAAACTATATTAAAATAAAGTATTTAATGATTCAATAATATTTTTTCTTTAAAATATATCACATATACTCTAACTTTAAAAATTTATTTTAATAATTAATATTACAAATAAGAGTACGATATATTTTAAAAGATGTCATCCGCGAAAATCATTATAGTGGCGCGTAGTGCCTAAGA